TGTGTCCAGAGGAGGGACGGTGGTTTGGACATGTCCAGAGGAGGGACAGTGGGTATATTGGTAGAAGGATGTTAGAAATGAAGCTGCAGGAAAAAGATAAAGAGGAGGGCGGCTGTGGCTGAGTGGTTAGAGCAGTCGTCCTCCAATACAAGAGGTGGGGGTTCAAATCCACCAGCAGTCACTTGCCGAAGTGTCCCTGGGCAAGACACTGAACCCCTCGTTGCCTCTGATGTGTCCCATCAGTGTATGAATGTGATAAAGCTCTGATTATTCTCTGTAGAGATCTAGTATAGAGCTGTATGAACGGGTCAATGAGGCACAGATTGTTGTGAAGATCTTTGAGTGTCTCCAAGAAAGAAATGAGCTGAATAAGTTCAGAACATTTAGCATCTGGATGAAGTTAGAGAGGACACGGAGGACAGAGTGAGATGGAGGAGGAGGACTCTCTGTGGAGACCCCTGAAGAGGGAAAAGCTGAAAGAAGAAGAAGAAGAACCTCCAGCTACTTTAAATCTTTAGCTTTTCACTACTTTTAGCAAACCATTAACTTTACGGTAAAATGTTGTTATTTTGACCTTTTAGCTAACGTTTGGTTTCTGTTTTTATCCAGCCTTCTGCTACTTTTAGCTAGCCTTCTGCTACTTTTAGCTAGCCTTCTGCTACTTTTAGCTAGCCTTCTGCTACTTTTAGCTAACCTTCTGCTACTTTTCGCCAGACTTTTGCATCTTTTAAGCACTGCACAACTATTGTTTTAGTTTTAGCTACTGTTCTGCTGCTTTTAGCTTAGATCCAGTTCCTTTTAGCTCGTGGTATCCTTGCTTCAGCTGTTGTTCGGCTCTTGGTCATTCATTCGGCTCTTTTCACAGAAAATTCAGTTTCTCTGGTTTCAGGGTCAATCAGATATTTTAGCCTCTAAATATAAATTATTTTAGCATCAAGGGGCAGCGGTAGCTCAGTGGTCAGCGCCACTGCCTCACCATCGTGAGGCCACAGGTTTGAGCCCAGGTTGTGTCCGGCAGGATCAGCTGATCTGATGTGATGAAGTTCCATCAAAGAACGTTCTCAGCTGGAAACTGTCAGAAACCCTGAAGCTGAAGATTTGTTGTCCCAGGACGAGCTACGTGTTAGCTTAGCCTGTTAGCTGATGTTCGGCTCCACAGCTAAATTAATTAAAAACTCCTAACAGCTGCTAAATCTAAAAATACTACTTCCTGTTTGTTGTTTACATTTGAACAACTAATTATGAATAAACATGAATTAATCTCTTTTATTTAAATATGAATTAAAAGTTCAAACAGACGAGACGTAATTATAAACTAAATTAATTAATTGAACTAATTAATTAAATTCATGTTGGTTGAATGTTCTGAAATTAACAGAAATGTTTAAATCTTGTTTATTTGAATTAAAATGATAAATTCAGTCCAAACCAATAAACAAATAAATAAATAAATAATTTAAAGTTGATCTGAATTAACAAAGTAAAAAACAAACAAAAAAAAGTTGTAATTTGTGTAAAAAGTGAAAAACTTTGGTTGTAACGGAACCGAACCAAGTCGGTCCAAAGTGCTGCAGGTTCTGGTGGATCCGAACCGGTCCAATGGCTCCTCATCTGTCCAGGTTCTGCTATTCTGGGCCACTTTGACCGAACCACGCCCACTGGGTCGGGACCAGCAGGGTGGAGGCTCAGACCACAGAACCGGAGCAAAGAGGAAGATGTCCGAACATCATCTTCATCAAACAGGAAGTTCTGAGAAAACCCAAACGGGCCGAAGCGGGTCGTACCTTCCTCTGCAGACTTCATGTCGACTTCAGACTCTGGGATCGGACTGGTTCCGGTCCTCCTCCATAAACCCGACCCAGCTGCTCCTCTGGGTCCTCTGTTCTTAGTCCGGACCCGCAGCTGGTTCTGGTTCTGGTTCGGGAAGAAAAAAAAAACTCCAGAACAAGAAAAAAGGACAAACGTTCAAATCAGCGGAGAAAACGGTTCCGGGTTCCGCCAGGACGAAGTTCTGCTCGGGGTTCTGGGGGATCCTGGTTCTGCCGGGTCTCTGTGACGCACTCAGAACCTCCCGAACCTTTTAAAGGCGGGGATCACCTCAGACCCGGACGCGCCGCCCATCCGCGCGCTGACGCACGAACCGAGCCGGTCCAGATGGGTCCAGGAGATCCTCTCTGCCGCCGGAGGCCAATCAGAACCGGAGGAGGCGAACCTGGACCCGCAGCTGAGCCGGGTCCGAACCGGCGGGACCGGATCCAAGTGAGCCGAGATCTGCTCTTCAAGTCTGGTCTGGTCCTCAAAAAATCCAGACTGGGTCCTGGTGAAGTCCGGATCAGTTCTTTGAGCTGATCCGGACTTCAGGACCTGAACAGAACCTCAAACAGAACCAACCACCTCATAGATCCACTGTCCTTCAGCTGATCATGGACAGGGGGGTCCAGTTTTCAGCTTCTTTAGGAACCAAACCGCCTAATTGGAGCTAAAATCCAGGTCCAGTCCAACCATTACAATAAAGAGTAGCACAGCGAGACAGCTAAAACAGCTAAAGAAGTTCTAACAAGAGAACAGCTTCGAGCAAAACTAACTAAAAGAGCAAAACAGGAGCTAAAAGAGCAAAACAGGAGCTGAAAGGAGCAAAACAGGAGCTGAAAG